TGCTGCCAAGCCCGCCACTGGAAAAGGGAGTAAGGTCAACATCAAGGACTGGCAACGAGAGGAGATATTCAAGAATCTCCTCGAGGTGTCATGTGAGTAGTGTGTGCTGTCACTGGTGAGTACAATATATCTCAACAGACAGTGTACACAATTTGGAAAGGTGGCCGCCAGCCCGACAGAGGAAAGGACGGTAGTATTGTGAACAGAAGAAAGGGAAGATGTGGGCGAAAGCTCATGTACCCCGACCTTTTGGAGAAGATTAAGGCAACGGACCCAAAGGACCAAACCACGTTACGTGATCTTGCTGCGGCCACAGGCTTTCCAAAGATTGTTCTGCTCAAACATCTAAAATCGGCGCATTTCAAGAAATACTTTCGTCCATTGAAACCATTCCCAACACCATCTAACATGTACTTCAGTAGCAAATGGGCTCTAAGCCATATACGCTCGGATTTTACTGTTGCCAGCATGGACAATTATGTCCATGTTGATGAAAAATGGTTCTTTCTCAAAGTAACCAGATGCGCATTTTACAGTGTAACTGGTGAAACTCCTCCGCCACGATCCGTGAAAAACAAGAACTACGTTTTAAAGGTACTGCACCTCGTTTCGAGGCAAAATACATGTTAAACTACAAAATAGATTATGGTACTTTGTGCTGTGGCAATCGTGGTGGGACGGAAAAATTGGATGCTGGCCGTTTACAGAAATGGTGCCTGCTGCAAGAACCAGCATCAATCGAGAGAAAAAAGGCACATTGATTACAACTCCTATCGCAGTTACAAGATCTGTCTACAAGAAAATGCTTTTGGACAATGTCATACCAGCGATTACTTTACCGCATTTGTCATGTGTGAATGAAAATGACCTACATAGTTTTATAATGACATATATTGCATTAAGAAGTTCCCTGGTCACTTGAGTTGCCTTTGGAATATAGTAGATATCAGGTTTAATGAGTATGCATTTGAATTCCAAGGTGGCGCGAAAGTTAGCATGTCACCGATAGACAACTCTACACCTCACCGAAATGACGGGAAAACCTGTGGTCAAAAACCGCAGACGTATTGGTCCTCCACAGCATCAAAGACTGCTGTACATACGCCAAGCAGCTGCACATTATCAATTGGAGAAAAGAGCACTCTATGGGCCCACACTTGATTGCTTTTTTTGGGATTCAAGGGATTGCACGGCTGTCCGCACAAAAAAGAGTGCACCGGTGGGAAAGCAACCGCGCTCATATAACGAAGAGAGCTAGTAATCCTGCTACCGCGTCGCAAAAGAACTCACGCCTCATCGGCATTGCAACTACGCTGGCTAAAGCGCACGAAGAACAAATTGTCAAGTGGATAAACGTTCTTCGTTCAGACGGAATTCCCGAGAGTCGTTTCCTACTGCAATGTAAGGCGCTAGAAGTAGCTAAAGTCGTTGGGCTCAAGGAACACGAATTCAAAGCTAATCAACCTTGAATTACGAGTTTTATGAAGCGCTGGCAGCAAACTATGCGAATGAAGACAAGATCTGGGCAGTCCAACCTAGAACGCGGAAAATTTGAAGAATGGCGGCGGCAATCAATTCAAGATCCCTCACCTGATGAAATCCAAGCTGAA